ATGAATGCTCTGTTCACTCTCCAATGAAGGGGTAGCAGCCCCTGGTGACGGATACTGTATACTTTTGTGTTAGATTTTAAACGGAATTTCATAAACTTTATTTCTTTTGAAAAAATTTTGCAAGAAAATATTTGAAAACATAGATTTTCTTTCAGGCGATTTAGCGGGTTGGGTTGGGTTGCAACCCCTGTAGACGAAATCCATATATTTAGCTGGAATTTTTTAAAAGAGTTTTTTAGAGTTTTTTTCGTCGAAAACTGTGCATAAAATACGATAATTTCGCTATAAAATGGTGTTGAGTGGTAACTTCCGGGGGTAGCTTTCACCCTCTAAATATTTTATTCGGCAGAACAAAAGTATACATGTGTTTGGCTTCTTTGAGCGTCGTGGAACATGAAATAACCATCATAATCTGCGATTAACAACTGCTTATATTGTATTAATATCATTAACCTTTAGACGGCCGGAAAATCAATATTTTGACGCAACAAAAAAACTTCTTCAATCTTCATTTTTAGACTAAAATATCCGTAACCTTAATAGAATTTTCACTTTTTACAACCATTTAAGATAAATTTACCCCTTTACACTCCTTTTCATATACCCGACATCCCTTTAAACTATCATTTTTACTTTGCACAAGCGGTTCTTTCTTTTTTTGATCTGACCATAATTGCAACGAAATATACTTTCAAAATAGTTTTTGTTACTACAATCGAATACAATTTAATATAAATTTATCCCTTCCCACCCCTTTCAACCCTTCTTTACCCTTATTTACCCGTTCTATGCCTTGTACTAGCATTTGTATTGTTTTTTTTTCAAAAAAATGCGTTTGCAAATATCTAAAATTATCAATGTAATATATTTTATTATTTTGATAAAAATTTTAGTTACTGAATTTGCTTCCTTTACTTCGATTCCCCCCCCCCTCTTTCGCTCTCATATTTATAATGCTTTCATGTTAGGTTTTTTTGGAAAAATATGTTGCTTTGTTTGCATATGGCTTATGAATAGATTTATTTTCATAAAATAATTTTTATGAAAAATTAACATAGTGAATTAGAAATAAATTTATGAATTATTTTCTTATATAAGAAAACTGGGAGATTGAACACCAAGTTTATTGAATTTAGATATTTTTTATTGGAAGTATTTTTTTCGTTTTATTTCTTATGATACAAACTGCGTAATACAATTAATGTAGAAAACAATGTTTGGAGTAGTGGAGAATCAGAACCTGAAGAAGATGTTAGAGATAGAAACATTGGGAGTGATATTGATTCAAATGATATCACAAATGATGAAGACTACAAAGCACCTGACGTATACTTTGATCCTTATTTTTATCCGTCCATAAAAGATTTTCCTGACAAAGCTCAACTACGTCTTGAAGTGTCAATAAATAAAATAACACAATTAGAATGTTTTAATTATATTTTATACCCATTTCTCGTAAACCTTATTGTAGAACAAACAAACCTATTTCAAGAGCAAAATCCTGAGCCAACTCGAAAAAACATGAAACCATGGACTGATTTGACTGAAGATGAATTATGGATATTTATTGCTTTATCAATAAATATGGGCCATGTTTTAAAAGAACAATTGAATGACTATTGGAGCCAGGATCCATTATTGTGTACTCCAATATTGGCGAAACTATACCTCGAAACCGATATCTTCAAATTTTAAGATATCTTCATTTTTCTAATAATTTAGAGGTTTCTAACCACCCTTTGAAAAAAATTAAACCAGTAATTGACTATTTGATAAATAAATTTTCTAGTACAATTATTCCAGGTAAGTAACTTTGTATAGACGAAAGCTTAGTCTTGTGGAAAGGAAGACTTAAGTTCAAACAGTTCTTACTTTTGAAAAGAAAACGATTTGGACTGAAGTTATTTGAATTAGTAGATTGTGACACATGTTTTCTTTTAGATTTTATTGTATATACTGGTGCAGACACTAATTATGATAAATTTTATTTAGGCGTTGCTGGAGATATTGTTGCACATCTTATGCAACCTTATTGTAATGTAGGACGTCAATTATTCACTGATAATTGGTACACTTCACCACAACTTGCGGAATATCTCCACCATAAAGAAACTAGCCTTTGTGGAACTGTGAAAAAGAATCGTAAAGGAATACCTACTCTTGACTCGAAGCTAAATCGTGGTGAAACACAAGTTGCTCACACCGATAGTTGGATGGTTATCAAATGGATGGATAAAAAAGATGTTTATGTCTTGACAAGTATTCACGAATTTGAGTACTGTGCCACTGCTTAAAAGCATTATAAAACTAATGAAGATATTGTAAAATCAAGTTATATTCATGACTATAACAAAAATATGGGTAAAGTTGATGATATCGACAGACAGTTATCAATGACAGAGACAATCCGAAAATGTGTGAAATGGTATAGAAAACTATTTTTTCATCTTCTTGACTTGATATTGACGAATTCTCATAAATTATTTGAGATGCTGACTACAACTGAAATTTCGTTCCCCGATTTTCGATTGAGCGTAGTAAGAGAAATTCTAAAACTAGACATTGAAAAAGTTCCAACTCAATCTCTTACATCTGGTATTTGACTAAAGGGTCGCCATTTTCTTAGAAAAATTAAATCTGAAAAGAGTGATAAACCATTACCAAGTCAATGTGCTTTATGTCATATGCTCAATAAAAAGTCCCGATCTACATATGAGTATTCAATATATTCTAAAGCTCTATGTATTGAACCTTGTTTTGAAATTTATCACACAAAAGAATCTTTACCATAAGTTAGAATTCTTACACCAAAGTATTTAAAATCTCTATAATATTACCAAAAAAATATAAAAAAAAAACAAAAAAAAGAGCAAAAAATAAAAAATAAAAAAAAGTACAAAAAATTAAAAAAAACAAAAAGAAGAAACATTACTCTGCCACAGTCGGTCCCAAGCCCGCGTTCATAAGAGGAGGGTGTTTCGTAATCGTTGACGCGAGACAAAAGGGATAGTTTGTGATGAATACCGTACTTTAGGGATGGTTTTTGAACTTATTATAATTTTGATATTAGATTTGGATTCAGCGTCAAAAAATACCCCGAAAAAGTGTATTTGCATTACAAAGTAGATAAAACTTGAATACCGTGTCTAAAGGGGTGAAATACCTTTAAAACAACTCCTAAAATTTGACTAACAACCCTTTAAAATACTTTAAATAGTTCATTAAATCGATAAACCTAATTTATATAATATTCTTATGAAGAAAGAAGCACTTTTTACCATTAAAAAATAATATTTTTAAAATTCGAAATTTTTAACATTAGCAGTTCCGTTCCCTGCCGGAAAATCAATATTTTGACGCCCCCCCTGATCGACACTTTGTATATGATCAATCGTTGATATAAGATACCTTATATACCAGTTTTCTGAGGGCGATATGCACTTTCAAATCCCGGCAGTCTAAAGGTTAAGGGGTAGTTCACCCTCGAAATAATAGATAATAGGAAAACCCCGAAATACGTCAATTTTGTTTTATCATTGTCTACTAGAATATTATATTTAAATTTTTTTAACATAATCTTTTGATTTTGTACAGTAAAAATACACTTAAAAATACAGTTTTTCCTCTATACAACGTAGGGGTTGCAACCCCCAGGGACCAAATTGATGTGTGTCTGTTACTTTTTTTATAAGTATCTTGTGTTTTTTTGTTTCATAAAAAAATATTCATTACAACTAAAGATATTGCTATAGAATTGCTTTTGAGGCTGTTTTTTGGGGGTGGGTTTCATCCCTTAGATAGCTTTTTCCGCCGATAAAAAGAAAACAAGAGACTTTTATTTTTTTACGAACTATAAAATCTCTTAATTGCAGGAAAATCGGAGGCGGAGGGTTGGGGTGGTTCCCTAGTAAACGTTTTTTCCTTTCACAAAGTAAATACATTTTATCAATGGAAATTATACTCAAAATATTTTTCCATCAACACAAAATCGATACCAAAATCAAATGGTTATAAAAGGTTTTAAAAGTATAATATTGAAAAATGTATTTTATTTACTTGTTTCGACTATTAGATTACCTTCAATAAACAGAAAAAAATTTTTATATAATACATATTTGATTGTTCAGTAACCTTATCCCGTTGGACACGGGGCATACCATGTACACGATCAGATGGTTACAACGTACACAATATGGGTAATAGAGTGTTACACGATATTGATAAAATGTGCCGGTAAATTGACAATTCACGACTTACCGACTGTCAGTATAGTAACAATTAAATACTCGCATGATAAGTATGTCAGAACCCCCTTAGCTTCTACTACACAAGTATAAATTTTCGGTCTTTTTCAAATTTTGTAGACTTATTTAGTATTGAAAAATAATAGACATAGCTTAGAAATGGTACTTTAATGTTTACATTCGTATAACGTTCTTTATGCACGCAGTCTAGAATCTGTTGATGTTTAACAGCCCAGACCAGTATGTCTATACATTGTTTGAACCTCTGAAATAAAATTCGATATTCCTTTGCGTCTATCTGATTAGGTTGAAGGTTATTTCAAGGTCAACGCCAGAAGAAAAAGCCTATACGGTTCAAAATATCATTTATAAATGTTTTGGATTCTGATATAGGTTTGATTTCTCTTGATCGGTTGTATTATATAACTGGGCGTTGTGTTAAGATTATGAAAATCTATTTACAAAAATCTATTTCAAAAAATGTTTTCACTTTGCTATTTTTACATTATAAAATTATGTTCGGGAAGCGGCCCTTAGATTTGTCAACAACAAAAAATCAGAGGTGCAAAGCTGTTGGAATAGAAGTTTGTCTAGGACCCATGTAAAAAAACAAATCAGCTAGCTTCGTAAAATTGAAGATAAAGAGAAAAAAGAAAATATAATCATACATTTCTGTATTTAATTATTTATATACAAATAAATATAAATTTATATTTTTACGACCTAAATTTTTATGTGTACGCATATGAATTTCAGAGGAGCATCGGAAGACAAGACGTATTATAAACAAAACATGGATTTTCTCAATTCAATTCTGGATTCCATGGAAAAGCCACCAGCAAAAAGTGATAAAGAAAGAGCATTAATGAAAAGTAAAATTCAATATTTATTATATTCGAAGAAAATGTTAATTAATCAGTCATTCTTTTTCCAGAGCAACAAGAAGTTATGAAGAAGAATCAGGTTTTAGAAGCTAATAATTTAAAAATTTTTAGAGAACAGGTAATTTATGATTTATTTTGATTTCACCTTCCATATCTTTCTGCTTTCCTGGTATTTAAAAAAAAATTCGAATGAACAAAATAACACTGCAATTTATCTCATGTTAATATTTTCTTAGTTATGGTATACTAAATACTTTAAAAACTTCATTTTATGTAAAACCAGTTAGAAAAAATTAATTTTGATACATCAAATAATGTATTTAGTATGTATAGTCATCAGCATTATTGCTTAAGGCATTGAATTATTTTCAAATATATCAAATATAAGTAGTATAAGTCTTTAGAAGTATAATATAAGTCTTTAGAAAATCTAAGAGATGGCGCGCAATGTATTACAACTTATCTTGCTACGGGAAGCGTCATATCTAGCTAGAGTGCTATCAAAGTTTCAGCCAGCTCCATCATGTGGTTCCATTTTAATTGTCGATCGAAATGAAAAACTTTTGCTTGTCCTTCAACAATGAAAAAAGTGATAAATCATTTCTATTTAAAAGGGCTTACACCGAAATAAATTAAAACTGAGCTAGATGGAGTTCATGGTGTATCTGCTCTTGTATTTGCAACTATTAACAATTGGATAAATGAATTTAAACGTGGTCGTACATCAACTGCAGATAAATATCGTTCATTTGGTCCGGTAGATGTGAGTACTCCGGAAATTCAGGCCAGATAGCACCAAATTAATGATTGAATCGCTATCGAAACGAAAAATTATCACCTGTATTTTTTTTACAATTCTAATTGTGTAGGTGAAATTGTTGACTCAAAATAAAAAAATTTTTTTCTACACTGCCGTCCATATTTATTTGCCCACCCAGAGAAAAAATTACATAAAATTAAAAGTTTTGTTACTAAGGAAGTATTCACCCTATCGAAGCCTCCGGGAGCTCATTTTGTAGGTTCTGGCGAGTACTTTAAGATACATGTCCTCCCGAATCGATTAATAATTTTTTTCCATGTTTTATCAAGACATAAAGGTAAGTAAAAAATCAAAAATTTTTTGCCCACTTTTAAGTCCGAACATTTTTATGGGAAAAATTTCCACGATAAATCTAAAAGGAGTATTTCGAAGCTTGTTCGAAGAGCTTTCGAATGCGAGGTAGCAGGATGTTTTTTCATAATTAGCTTAAAAGTTACAGACGTTTGAAAGAAAAAAAAACACTTTTTTTCGAGAATTATTATTTTGGTACCATCTACTCGCATGGAAAAACTTTACTCGGAAAAAACGTGTAATTTGTAGCGTAGAATCAACCTAAATTTTCTCAGATTTATTTCGTAAAATTTTTTTTTCTACATTTTGGAGTCGATTATTGTACGACTTTGTGGTATTCTGTAATAACTGGAATACTTTATTATAGATTGAAATGATCATTTTCTTAACAAGGAACAATAAAAAAATCAATAGTATAGAAAATATCAAATATTCAGTTTTTATTAGTCCATTATCGAAATAAATATAATAAATAAATAAATTATCAATCCATACGTTTTGATAGCTTTAGAAATTCATGTTTCTTGGTAGTAATAATAATAATAGTAATAATAATAATATATATAAGTATATATAAATATTAAGAGAAACATCTAAACAGTCAAGTCACTCCTAATAACATAACAGTATGAGAATCTCACAAAAAATTATCTATTTGAATTTGATTGAACTATAAAATTATAATACTGTAATTAAATGTTTTTTTCATCAAAATGCCAACCTTTGTTCTTGATAACTGCTTTGCAGATTCTTGGCATTCTCAGGATCAAATTTTCCAAGGTGGAAGCTGGAATCTTTTTCCATTCTTCTTGCAGGATCGTCCATAAATGTTCTCTAGACGTAGGGCAAATTTTCCGTACTGCTCGGTCGAGTTCTTCCCATAATAATTCAATAGGATTCAGATCAGGTGATTGAGGAGGCCATGTCATGACTTGTAGTATTTGCCGGTTCTGCAAGCTCTCCAAATAATTTTTACAAATGTTCGAGGTATGTTTCGGATCATTGTCCTGTTGGAAAATAAAATTGGGACCGAGCAGACGTCTTCCAGAAGGCACTACGTTCCTTTGAAGTATACTTTTGTATTTTTCTTTATTTAATATTCCTTCAATTCGGATGCAATTCCCTACTCTGGACCCTCCAAAACATCCCCAAACCATCACAGATCCTCCACCGTGTTTGACAGAAGGTACAATGCACTCCCGAGAATGACTCTCATTCTTGCGCCTCCTAACATAAACTTTTCTTTTTGAACCAAAAACTTCAAATTTCGATTCGTCACTCCACAATACTTTCCTCCAATCGTTCACAGTCCAATCCTTATGCTCTTTGGCCCATTTCAATCTCTTAGCCACATTTACTTTTCTTAAAAGTGGTTTTTTGACTGCTATTCTTCCATGAAGCCCTTTTTCTGCGAGCCTTCGTTTGACTGTAGTGACACTAATCGATTTACCAATACTTTTACTTACTTCTGATGATAATTCTACAGCTGTTAGGCGGCGATTTCGAGTACTCAAGTGAACTATATTATCATCTTGTTTCTTCGTCGTTTTCCTCGGTCTGCCTGCATTTTTTCTTGTGGTCACTGTGCCAAATTTTAAAAACTTTTTTACGTTATAATCAACCGTACGCCGTGATAACTTGAGCGTTTTAGCTATATCCCTATTGCTCTTTCCGATTTTGTGAAGAGCCACGATCTCACTACGGCTCTCTATTGATAAATTCGCAGTTTTTCCCATGCTGGCGACTAAAGAGATTGTATGAATGAACTGGCAGTTTATTAACTGAGTTTACCTAGAGTATCACGGTGTCATCATATGTTTATAAACAAAGCTGAATTACGCTTGAAGTGAAGTGACCAATTCTTAGAGTCTATCTTATTTTTATGATTCCGAAAGAATTCAACGTTGTTGATTCATTGGATATGATTTTATATTACTTATACTTTGTAATTTAGAGATGATAAAAACCTTTTGTGATAATTTTCTTGCTGTATTTATGAAAATTCCTAGATTGCTTTCGGCTTCAAAGAATTGAAAAACCGTAGAAAATAAAAATAACGATTTTTTCATTCATGGAATACCACAAAGTCGTACAATAATCGACTCCAAAATGTAGGAAAAAAAATTTTACGAAATAAATCTGAGAAAATTTAGGTTGATTCTACGCTACAAATTACACGTTTTTTCCGAGTAAAGTTTTTCCATGCGAGTAGATGGTACCAAAATAATAATTCTCGAAAAAAAGTGTTTTTTTTTCTTTCAAACGTCTGTAACTTTTAAGCTAATTATGAAAAAACATCCTGCTACCTCGCATTCGAAAGCTCTTCGAACAAGCTTCGAAATACTTCTTTTAGATTTATCGTGGAAATTTTTCCCATAAAAATGTTCGGACTTAAAAATGGGCAAAAAATTTTTGATTTTTTACTTACCTTTATGTCTTGATAAAACATGGAAAAAAATTATTAATCGATTCAGGAGGACATGTATCTTAAAGTACTCGCCAGAACCTACAAAATGAGCTCCCGGAGGCTTCGATAGGGTGAATACTTCCTTAGTAACAAAACTTTTAATTTTATGTAATTTTTTCTCTGGGTGGGCAAATAAATATGGACGGCAGTGTATTTCAGAAATCTAATCATCCCAACCCAATCGATTTTATAAGAAACAACACGTCGAAAACCTCTATGCCATGTTTTTGTCCGATTCCATTTTGTTAGTATATTACCGTTAAAAAATAGAAACATTCAGCTAAATTCTGAAATCAAGTTTTTACTCTAACCGATTCACAAGACGTTTAGGAGGCATGGTTTGTTTTTAACCGATCGTTCGGGCTAGGGTTTAGATAACCGATTATATGTGTCCAAGAAAGTAATAAAAAATATTTTCTACTTATTTTTTCCGGGTAGGATGAATTAGCATGATCAATTTTTTGAAATTACAAAATTTTTTATAATTTATTTTCACATAAACAATTAGAATCATAAAAAGGAAAATACGAACAAATATTTTTTCTAGTTTGATAGTGAACCAATATAGCTGTTGCTATCTCGCCTGGATTTTACTTGGGTACTAATGGGTTAATACACATCGTTTGTTATTTAAAGATGAGATAATAGATTCACCGAAGCGATTTTATTATTTGTCCTATTTCTTGGATGATATTAGTTTGACCTTTTCTAGTTTTATTTCAATTCGATGAATTCATGTCCATATAGTCAGTATCGCTATTTGCTATTTCTAATTATATATGCATAATGTACACTACCGTCCAAAAAGATTTGCCATCCCCTTGCTGAAATCATCAAAACTTTAGAGTTTTATGGCTCAGTTTCTATAAGAGCTAGAAAATCCTGCAGGATCTCATTTGAAAGGTCTTGCCAAGATCTTTCAAATGTTGTTAAACATAATTGATTTTATTTGTTTTTTGTACAACTTATGACGTCATAAACCAATTGTTTTTTTTTAATTTTTTCACATCAACTTCGACCCCGATATATTTATATAACGGATTCTACAATGGAAAAACTGTATAAGCCATTCGATAGAGCTTTCAAAAAGTTACAAAATCCATATCCGGAAAATTTTTTTACCTTTATTTTTTATGAGCTATATGGTGTTTTATACAAAAACAAAGATTTTCAAAAAATGGGCTGTATTTTTTTTATTTTCAACTCTAAAGAAAAAAATTCTCAGAAGAAAAAATGTAGTATTTAGCAAGAGCTATCAAATGCGCCACTCAGAATTTAAAACAAAAAAATTTTTTTTTTCTCGTTTTTTAGAATTAAAATTTTTCTAAAAAAAAACTGAAATTACATATATTTAATAAAATTAGTAAGTAACTAGTATTTATAACTGAATGGGCTTACAAACAATGATAACAAGATACATTTGTTGAACCATAATTTATTACTTACTCAGAATAGATTAACATAATTTGGTTAGAATTTTTCTACAAAATTTATTTATTACAACGTTTCAATAATAACATAACAATAATAATTTCATTTT